TTAGAATTGGTCCAATGGTCATAGCATATTTTGAAAAGAGATCATATATCATAAATAATATGTTGGAAAAGAATTTTTTTTTTTCCATCACATTTCAGGTCCAGACTCTGCTTTGTCATATTTTTGGAGAATAGTAAAGCATGGATGACTTTTTGTGCAGTACAATTTGAGGTTGGTAATGGATGTTTAACATCTTTTTGCTTTGAGAAATGGGTTTGTCTTGTCAAATTCCTTCTATTGCTTAGAATGAGGTGAGATTTTATTGGCATATTCGGTTTGTGAGATAACCGATGACTAGGGCTTTGGTGTTTCAATATTTTGATACACCATCTATTATAAACTCTGTTCAGTTTTCTACTGATATTAATATGGCTTTGAACTCTTCCTTCTCTGCGCCTTCATATTATAATTTTCTGGTTGATGTAGGATTGAGATTTGATTGTGAATCTATCTAGAAAGTCCTTGTACCTCTCAAGTTGAGAAAAAACTATTTCTAGCTAGCCATTAGAGACAAGCTCAATACTAAGGATGTTCTTAGTAAGAAAGGCATATGACTTTGAACACGTACAGTTTGTTGTTTGTTTGTATTAGAATATGAGACTCATAATCATGTTTTTTCACAATATTGTAGTTTCATTAAATTTATCTGGAAATCCATTCAATATAAATTAGATATCTCTGATTCTTTTCATGGTGATCAATTAATCTTTAAAAAATTATGGCTCAACTGCTGCTGTAAGCTACTGCTTATGAAAAACAAAAACAGTACGAGAAGGGTTATCCATATTTATGCAGCAATATTTTGGTGCATTTGACAGGAATATTGACAGACTTTTCTCCAATAAAAACAAGAGATCCCTTGCTTTGCCTAACAAAATCTTGTGCACTTTTCCTCTTTTTAGTTAAGGACTAATGTTTCAGTTCGTACGTGCTACTCGCTACATGGGAGTGACACGAGAGGAGGCCAAACGCCAGAGAGGATCGTGCTATGGTGGTTCAAGAAGGAAATAATGGAGGGCAGGATAGTTTGGATTCTTTTTTCTTTTCTTTTTTTTTGTTTTTTTTTTGGGGTTTTTTTTAGCTAATCTAAAAATTATATTATCTGCTACTTTAAACTTGTATTCCTACTTTTCACGCTTCTTATTTTTGTTGTGGAAGTGGGAAGTTTGTGAGGCGTTGACATATTTTCGGTGAACTATATCTCCAGTGGTTGGGGGATGTGGATGTTATGTAACAACTGC